AGCTTTGTGAATAGGTCCGCCGGGTTAAGATTCCCAGGGATCCAGACTGGACGTATGATTCCTTCCTTTTGGTAGTCTCTGATACGATACTCACGTAGATCAACAAACTTGTTGCTTGCTGACATCTTGGGGTGATTAGAGACAGAGAGAGCCGCTTGATTGTCAACAAAAAGAGGAACACTGACAAACTCCCCAAAAATAAGCTTATTTGGGATGAGTATATTTGTGAACCACTTGACTTCGTCTGCACATGTCGCGGCGGCTATTAGTTCAGCCTGCATAGTTGATGCGGCTGTCAAAGTTTGGCGCTTTGAGTGCCAAGACACAAGGCAGCCAAACACATAGATGCAGAAGCCGGAGGTACTTCGAAGCTTCTCGTCGGTAGCATCAGCCCAATTGGCATCAGAGAAAGCGTAGCATGACGCATTCTGAATTTCAGACTTGATTTCCTTGCCTTCTGCTTCTTGATACTCGCTGAGAAGCTCAGCTATAGGGGACTCATAAGAAAAATTGAGACCGCGGCTCCGTGTGCCTTTAAGGTACATAAGCAAACGGTACGCTAGGTACAAATGAGTCTCCTGAGGATCATGCATCCCGCGAGCAGTCCTTGAAACCCAAGTGCAGATATCAGGTCTGCAAGTTATGCTCATGTAGATGGTGCAGCCAACCACACGTGCGAAGTTTTCCTTGAGATAGTCCTTGAGCTTGCCTGGTCTGACAACGTCCTTTTTGTCAGGAGTGGTGAGAGATTTGATCTCATGAACTTTAGTCCCACATGCCTCTTCAATTTCTTTGATGAGGTCACCAATTTTACCTGGGACACTGAGAGTGATTTTACCATGTTCGGGCCTGCCGGTCACAAGGATTCCAAGAAAGCTTTCCACGTAGTCCGTCCAAGTGCACTCCTTAGTCTTACCATTGATGACAATGGAAAATTCCTCATTGAGAGCTTGCTTGAGGCTGTCAATCTTTTTATCGTGAGTGCCAGTGCATAGAATGTCATCGACAGATACTGACAGGAGAACCCACTTGGTTTCACCATCTACTTCCTCTTGGAATCTATACAAGCATGCATCTGCAGATTGTCTTTCAAAGCCGTGCTTCTGAAAGAACTTGTCGATCCGCAGGTTCCAAAGGAGTGGAGCTTGTTTGAGTCCATAGAGGGCTTTCAATAGACGAAGACCAATGCGATACTTCTTTCTGTCAGCCAAGTCCAGTTCCTTGCCTTTCAACATGTCTTGAATACATGCCTCAGATAGGGCAAGGCCTGTTGGTAGATTGATGAACATATCGCGTTCAGCATTGCCCTGAATGAAAGCATTTGGGATGTCAATTTGATGGCATTTGACCTTGTGCTTAACTGCTGCAGCAAGCACCAGGCGGCAGCTGGCCAGAGTGGCCATTGGGCTGTAGGATGTGTAGAAATCAAGTCCAATACGCTGCATGAACCCACGTACGACGAGTCGCGCCTTGACTCGGTCAAAACTTCCATCTGCTTTGCGCTTGACTTTGAGCACAAAGCGGGTAGAGATTGGGTCTCTGGTTTCGGGAATGATGGTAACTTCGGCAAACTTGAGTGCGCAAAGAGCGGACATTTCCTCGGTGACTGCCTTGAAGTAGGCAGTTCTCATGTTCGCATCTTCCTTATTGAGATCTCCGATCTTTTCCCTGTGATAGACAATGTCTCCATGTTTGAGAGTGGAGTCAGGACTTTTGTCCTTCATGGAATCAGGCACTAGGGTTTCATCGACCTGAAGTATGATTTCGACTCTCTTATATCCAGACGTTTCTGTATTTGTAGGTTCAAGGCCATAGGTCATGAAGCAGTCTAATATTGGATCATCCAAGTTATGGTTACTTCCAAAGAGATGATCCTTTTCAGCAGCTTTGCACATTTGACGTCCTGATCTCTGTACAGATAAGTATTGAGATATGGTTGGGAGCAGCTGTTCAAAATCAACTGGTGAAGGATCAGCAGGAATAGCAAGGTTGGATGAGCTGCTGCTTTGGTCCGACGGAGCTGACGAGGTGGCGGTGACGGGTGCAGTTTCGTCTGCTCCCCACAGCGCTTCTACGGCTGCTTGATAATCAAGCGCAATGTCTGAGTCTGGGTCACCATCAAGGTGATGGTAGTTGACTCCCGGTGACTTGGCCTCTGATACTTCGCGCCCTTTGGTTAGTTCATCAAGAAATGCCGTTTGAACTGATCGAGAGTCATCGGCGCTGATGGTGTTGACAGTGTTTTTATCAAACCACACATGCCCAGTAAAGTAGGAGTCCAGACTTGTGAGATGAGCAAGGCTGACATGGTCACCCTTGAGGTCATCTATGCTCTTGATGTCGGGTTCATGAAACAACGGCATGTTGAGCAAAGTCTCGAGCCTGTCTTTCTTATAATCCAGAGTTTTGCCTTGCCCAGCAACAAACCTAGTGGCTTGCTTTCTTTCTCTTCTAGGAAAGGGACTTCGCGGTAGATTGGAGGCAGATGTGGACTCCCCCTGTAACGATTCATCGTCTCCAGATGAGTTATCCTCCCTTTCGACTTCATCTTGTGCCTCATGTTCTTCTTGATCATCATCAAGTAGATCTCCTGGAAGGAGATCCTCTTCAGCGGCATGTTCGCCTGTTTCATCAAAGTCTTGATGTCTGTAGTCCAATTCATCATCGGATCCTGGACTGTAGTTTCTTGATTCTGGAACATTTGTCAGGTCGATTGGAGCCGGTGTCAGTGTTGCAGACTTATCCTTGGTCAGGTTGTTCATAAAACGCTGACTCACAACGAGACCTTGCTTCTTCTGTCCGATGTTGTCATACCGGAATTCATCATCGTCATCGTTGGGATTATACGTGGATTGAGAGGTAGCATGGTTGTAGCCTCTCATGTTGATGAGAGGTCGATTGGGATTGTCCAGAGCAAAGTACTTTCCATAGGTGGTTCGTGAGAGCACAGACCATCGACCAGTGTTCACGATTTTCCCAGTTCCTTGTTGTAGGATTATTGACACATTCTCTTCCCGCACTCCTCCAGTGTGGGTATCCAATCCATGTACCTTAATAGGACAGTAGTGAGATGTGGTCAGGTAGAAGGAAGCTAGGTTTTTGCTATCGTATGTCTTTGGATCATCTATCGACTGACTCATACAGGGTGCGAAGAATTGATGAACAGTGACAACTTCCTCTTTTCCAGCAGATGCTGCTTGGAGGTAATCCAGGTGTTGGGTTGAGATGTGATTACATTGACAGGCCCTGTGCACAGATATAGATTGTTTCCTTTTCGCTTGTCTTTGTAATACCCAATGTAATGAGCAAGAGGTACTCTTAGTAAAGTACCTTTAGGATCAATCCACACCATTCTGTTGCTGTTGTCTAGAGAAGCTGCTATTCTGCCAGGAGATACAGAGTCAAATAGTGTTAGTAATTTGTCAGTATGAGTGGGAAGCTCATGTGCACCAATGGCGTTGACACCGACTACTGTGATTCTGTATCCTTGATGGGGTTGAAGGACTATGTTCTTGCTGTCAGAAATGACAGTAGGTTGACAGAAGATAGGTTTGATGATAGAAGGGTTCGTACTGTGATCAATCATGTCGCCATTCTTGAAATATCCAAGGGTGAATATCATGCTAGCGTTGGCGACAGAGAGCTTAACTGCATGTTGCTGATTGAGGGATGTGTATACATGAAATCCTGTGCACACATCAATTCGGAGTGATAGACATGCATTGTGGGCTAATCTGTACAAGTAAGGGTACCTAAGGCAGTTAGGTCCCTGTTGAGTTAGATTGCGAGTGAAGCTCCCATCCTTGAGACCCAGCGTCTGCATCTAATCCCGAAAACTTGACATCTCGGTGTCTGTCAACATAACTGCAGGGAAAGAGGAGTCATTGCTTTCTTCCTCTAGCTCTTCCATGGTGAGTATTGTCTCTTTTGTTTCTGAGAACAACTCTCCCCCAGTTCGATGATACACCGCTGCCATCGTCTCCTCGGGAACATCGTCGGGCTGAAAGTCTGTCGCTTCCAAAACATTTGCTGTCTTTAGCGACTTAAAGGTGGCTTTTTGTAGCTGTTCCAATTCTTTCTTAACATCATCATCAAGCTGGTTAAATGTACCATTTTTGATCTGAGTGTAGATGAATTTCTGCAGCGCCATGGATGTCTTTGGGACATTCGACTCATCGCGGACATCCACGTTATGGTGCGCTGCACCAAAATCACTCTCTCTTTGACTGGTTCTGGCCTGCTGTGAGCTTCTTGGTACTGCATGCTTCACAGCTGTTTTCATCCTGTCGATGTAGGCTTCTTTGCGTTTATGCATCGGATCATTTTCATCGTTAGAGGACAAGTTCACTACCTTTCTTTCAATCTGGTTGAAGGAAGAGGTGCTGTGCAATTTGCCTCCACCTCTACCAAAACCGCCTGAGCCTCTACCAAAACCGCCTTTACCGCGATTCCGTAGTTTAAGGCGGCCTTTTTGACGGTTGCTAGTTGCCTTTGGCTTGAACCCTGGAGTAGCAGATTTATTTCCACCTGCCATCATGATTTGTTCTTCAGTGAAATGCACACTCACACAATTGGCAGCGAAGGCTGCCGTGGTCTCATCTAATAAGCTCAATATGGTTTCATCTCTGTCACAAGCGTCGTAGAGCTGGTTAACTTCGTCCATGTCAGTGTCATTCAGATAGAAAGTACAAGACTCCAATTCTTCCACCTGATACATGCCAGCATTTTTCAGGCTGAGACTGAACTGTGCTTGAGATAACCTACTTCGGTGCTTGAATTGTTGTGTGTTATCGAGATCTAGTGAAAGACATTCGTTCATATCCGGCGGTTCCGCATAGTGAGCGGCGTACAAGGATGTAAACATATCTATCATTAATTTTATGTCATAGATGGCATGACTGAGACCAACTTGTGCTGCTTCGAGAGCTTTTAGTGAACTGGGACTATCGCGATGATGGGAGTTCCCATAGAAAACGCGAAGAGCATCTGTAATTTTAAAGATCTTTTCATGTAAGGCAGATGCTGGTTCATCACTGGAGTTCTGCCATTGTGCGGCACTCACATGACGCCACATGGCCGGAATGACCTCTCGCATGAGCTCTTTCTTGGTTCTGTATGCATAGGTGTCATAATTTGACATAGACCCTATCTTCTCATTAAGTTGATATACAAACTTCATGATGTTGTTGGGGTCAAGTAATGGAAATTCGGAGAAGGCTCCAGTTGTAGCGTCGAGTACATCTTTACGATAGTCCTGCAAGTGTAGAAGTATGGACTCTTGTCCACCACACAGAACACTGAGAACCCATTGAACTAGAGTGTAGGACTTGCAGCCCATGCTTATTTTCCTGATGTTCTCCATCTCTGCTGAGAGCAACTCAGATTTGTCCTTTTGGGACAGATTACGGAAGCTATTGTTCAGGTAAGCATAGAGATTTTCAGATACTACAGTGTCTGATGAGCCAAAGTCCGTGAGATCCATATGCTCCGCAGGATTGAAGTTAACATCCCCTGGAATCATAGAACTCATCGGTGCGTAACGTCGATCTTCAGCACTCTGATTCATGCCAGCTTTGAATAAGCAATTGCGATAACCGTCAAAGAAAGGATTTAAGGGTATATAGCACGGTTGATGCTCATTCGTGCGATCCCCAAAATTCATAGGAATGCAGTGAAATGAGAGCGTCTTCATTTCAAGAGCTTTGTCATGCTTGAGAATCTTTGAGATCACGAATTTCTGATCCTTTAATTTGAATCCTTCTTCTGTGATATATTTGAGTGGATCCTTCAAAAATTTTTCTTTAGTGAAAAGATCAATTGGAACTTTGTCCCATAGAATCACTTGCTCTCCGCGAGCACTAGATTCATCAAGCTGGACGTCATCTATTTTAAGAATTTGAAGTCCAGATAGCTGCGTCACATTGATCTTCATGCCAGTGATGGCATTCATCGCACTACTGTACGCATTCACCAGGGATGAGTTGATCCAATCTGTGAACTTATCATGACCCTGTGTATAGGAGTAATAGGACTTTACATCCAAAATTCTTCGAGCTTTATTCAGCGAATGAACCTCTATGTAGCGACTTATACATTTGCGTAGGTCACCTATATTTTCCATGGTGCCTTTGCCATTATAGACTGCTGTAAAGATTTTAAGGCCTGTATCATGGTAAAGGTTATTCATGCCAATGCCTTTGGATAGTTCCCCATACGATGTGCTGAAGTGATCTTGATCAGCTTTTGACAGTTTTCCTTTATGAAATGTAGAGAAGTCAGTTATATCCGAAGGAGTGGAAGGGCTTTCCTTAGCTTCTTCAGCCCCAGGAGGTGATCTATTTGATACTTCCTCCAGAGATTTTTTCATAGCTTCGAATGATTCTTTCATTGATGCTAAAGTAGCATCACGCTCCAATTTATCGGCTGCAATGTCAGCGGTAATACGATCATTCACTGCTATAAGCGATGAAGCCGCATCTTTATCTCTCTCTTCCAACCTTCCAAGAGTCTTTTGGACTCCATCCAGTATGGCAGCTTGTTGTGCCAGTAAAGCGGCGAGCTGTGTGGTAACTGGGTCAGCCATACTTCGATTTCGGTTAACGGTAGAAATACGTAATGTTTTTCTCTGGTCTGAGGGGTCCGCCTATCAATTGAAATGTCAGTCCTGCTCGACTTGTTGTTCTTTTACCATAAACGGTGGAAAGAACACTCGACCACACTCGAGGTTTACTCGAGGGACTCAGCTGCTAAAATGCGCGAGTCGAGTGGTTGAGCCAAGGAGCCAGATCCGTAACTCTCGCTGGAGTTATACGATCTGTGGGCCCATAACCCTCGCAGGGGCAGCTGCGGGAGTTACGTGGACTGACCTACTGGCGTTAACGCCAGGGAGGGAGGATCTCAGTACTTTGGGATAGGAAAGGAGAAAGAAAGGAGGAGAGCCTCCTCAGTGGGGAAGGTCAGTCAGGGTGGCGGTAGGCCCAGTAGGCTGAGCCTATGGTCCTGTAAAGAGGAAGGTAGACCTTGAGGATAGGTTGAGGTAGAACTTGAGGGTAAGTTGAGGAAGAGTCAGGAAATAATCCTTGAGAGCATCAACCGTGCTTCCTGAATATCCTGGCTGATATATCCTGGCGGCTATATCACCTGCACATACTGTTGTATCCGGATTGATGGTTGCTGAAGTAACTCTGTAATAGCAAGAAGCCTGACACTTGGTGCACGTAATTGCGAAAATTTCTCTCACGTAGAGCCTGAAATGGGAACGCTGGTACATTACATCGGAACCATCGAGACAGCAAGTGCGTGCACGCGCAGGGTATAATTGGCTATGTAACGCTATTCCGTCTCAGTCGGCTTTCCATTTGACAGCAAGGCTCTGCAAGTGCGCTGGTACTTTGAGTATTCGTCTGATTGGAATTTGCTCGAGGGACCACGCGAAGGACAGAGCCAAGCCTATGCCTACGGGCGCGAGGGTCGGCTTGCAGTACTCGACCATCCCATGGATCTGCGCATTCACACATCATCTGCGTGCCATATCGTCCTTTTACTTGACGTGACTATCAGCTCAAGCTTCCGCATGGCACAGGTTATTTCCACAGTCCCGAAACTAACAGTTCAGGTATACCAAGCCGACGATCTCTCAAGGCATGAGCTCACCGGGTATGGTTTCTGTGATGAACGCTGTACTTGATCAAGTACTGAAAATGATAAAGCCTCGCACAGGTCACCTCCCGATGGTTTCTGGAACGCATGACATCGAGATTGTTTGTTGGCGTCCCTTCGGGACCTGGTACGAGCGCCTCTCCTCCAAGTTTATCGGGGGGTATCCCAGACTCATACAAGATCGACTGGCATGTTTCGATGGATCTTTAGATAAAGATCAATTCATAACTTTGTTTTAGGTTGCAACTAGCGCGAATCGATTTGATCTAAATTCAGAAACTACCGGTGCCATACACGCCTCCTTGTCGGTCCTCATCATTGAGAAGGCCGCGAAACTTCCAGATGCCTCATCTGCGCCATGACAGGACTGGCAACAGCCATCCTCCCCCGATGATGCTGGTGATGATGGTGTTGATGATGACGATGATGGGGAATAGGCGGCCACACTCGAGCCAGCGTGCTGACGGCGGTGGTCCACTCCATCTGACCTGCATCCACCTGACTCCCAGCTCTTCGGCCCTTGCTCACCCCGAGTGGGTACTGGGCCACCCCGGGCCTGGGGAACCAAACGGAACTCCGCTCGCGACTTGGCGGGGGCTTAGGCGCGCTTAAGTGCCCCATGTCTGGCGCTATCATCCGATGATCTCAGGCTCTGCCGGGGGCCCCGGGAGCCCGTAGGGCCCGCGGGCTTCAGGCGAGTACCACCGGCGGCTGAGGACAGAGGGAGGCGAAGATACAAGTCATCAGAACAGTGCCCACCCAAGATCAAACCTACCCAAGATCAGCCCGCGGGAAATACGACGCGTTCTAGTTTGGACCCCGCTTGTAAAGCTTAGTGTTGCTAGATCCCGGCATGGCGAGAACATAAGCAAAAGTAACCCTTGGCGGAGTAAACTTCACAATCTATGATGAACTTTGGGACATTGATGGCTCGGAGCGCACAGCTAATATTGAAGGAGATACAGACCTTTAAACGAATGGCTCGCATCGTTTATGATATATACGCTGGGCAATTATAATCACCACGGCTCATTTCCTATATGACGAACCTGTCATCCACTAGCTTAAAAGCCCCGAAAGGGGCCCCTAGGCAACGCGCGGTCTGGGCGTCTTTCGCCAAGTCCCCGACCCGAAACGGCCCCGAGAATTTTTGGTCGGCAGCTGGGGGCTTTACTCAGGCGCGGGGGGGGGGGGGGCGGGTGGGGCCCAAACTAGAAAGCGTCGAGTTTCCCGCGGGCTCCACAAGGGGAGGCTGAGCTCAAGTTGAGCGAAGGAATGCCGGAAATGAAGGCTGACGGGCCGCGCTTGGTCTAACTCACTACCGTGTTGAACTCGCCCAAGTTGCCGGAAACAATGCTTCCGCAATGCAAGTACAGTGAACAATTCTAACACCAGGCCTCGTACGCCAGCCCACATGTCGCTACTTAGCTACCTTTGTGCTTTCTTTTGCCAATGGCCCTATAGAGGTTTGCGCCATTAGGCTGCCAGTTGCTGGGCATCTTCGTAGTGTCAGACATCCATGAGCTCCAGGCATGGATGTCGTTAGCCTGCGAGTAGAACGCTCCTGGCATCTAGTGTGCACAAACTGCCTCCGCACGGGCAATCTTTTCCATAAATCCATGAATATCGACAACGATATCCATGGTTTTGATGTGACCCACGGTAGAAAAGGTGGCTCTCCCCCCCCCCATGCATGCTGTATTGAGTCTCTTTGAGCGCATGGACCACTGAAACATAGATACACGCTGATCCTGGTCGTGGATGACGTCAACAAGAGCAAACTCAAGATCGCGCACCTGCTTCAGTCCAGAGGCAGATCGAGCGGCGAGATTGTCTGCGACAATGTCTTCAATCCCAATGAGGAATACACGCTGCGTTGCGCTCAACTTCCGTGAAGAACCCATGTACTGCGGTCGGTACGGTAGCTTGGGCTCTGAGTGAACACAAACATCATCTAGGACGCCAGCCCAAGCTTCATTTTCCACACAACATTGAGTTCGGAGAGCAAAATAGCGTCTGAGCATGGCTGTACGATGCCGCAGATTTGTCGCGAGCTTCTGAGAAGCCGGTGATGAATCATCACCTTCGAATTCGCTGCTAGGTGTATGACGTGTAGGTTCACTATCAATACCAAGAGTGGTGCGCCGAGAATAGTTGTGGAAGTCAGAAAAGCAATCACCAGATGCTCCAGTAGTCCGAACCACGCCATCCAAGCAGAGGGGAAGAGGCACCGAGAGGGTTTTTCGTAGAAGTGAACTCCAATCTAGACCCCTGTAGAACATGTGTTCTTTGACTGCAGACGGCCCGGCCTCGGCACCTAGGCGCTCATCTGGGTCGGTCTTGAGGAGCTGTCTAGTGATGTCACGGGCAGCATCAGAAATGCGAGCGTCTGTGATCGCGAGGGGATGAGGAGAACGACGAAGGACGTGAGTGATGATTTTGTCGCCATCTGAGTTGTCGTCGAACGGGTGTCGCCCGGCGAGCATTACCTAGAAGATAGATGGTGATTGAAGGAATATTTCGTCGGGCGCAGTGGTTTTGCGTAAAGCAAGACGCCAAAAGACCAGAAGTCAACCTCTGGTCCGTAGCCTGAGCCACGAATGATCTCTGGAGCCATGAAAAGAGGCGACCCATGGAGGCTCACCATTGTTCGGCGTGTACGTATATCCCTTTTTCCTTGCAAGTCGTCTGAGGGAAAACTTGCATTTGCTGCATTTTCTTTAGACTTGTCAATGCACGATGCAATTGACTGGGGCACAGCAACAGACCCAAAGTCTGTGAGACATGCATGACCGCTGGCAGAAAGGAGAACGTTCTCGGGTTTTAAATCACGGAATGTTATCAATCTTTCGTGCAAGTAATCGATCGCGCATAAAATCTCGGCACTTAAGAACTGAGCATGACACTCTGTAATACAGCCTTCTGGCTGTGACTTGAGGAGCTGGCTTAGAGTGCCCCCAGGGACATACTCAAGGACAATATATATTGTCTCTTTGTCTTGGAACGTAAAGTATTGCTTGACTATGAATGGATGTTGCATGATCTCCAGCACGAGTTTTTCTGTCGCTGCACGCCGCCATAGGCCGGTAGTCACCAAGAAATTTTTATTCAACGTCTTAATAGCAACCATATTACCCGACGCAACTTCTTTTGCAAGCCAGACCTTACCAAAAGCGCCTTGGCCCAATTTATGAGAGAACATGTAGTCACTAACTCGCGGCAGATGAAGTGGTGCATCTTCTGCGACGGCACCATCAATATTGTCACTGAAAAATGACTTGCGCTGGAGATCTGCGGAGAGGTTTGAGTGTCCTTCATGCAAATTCGCCATAGATTGCGAAATGTGTTTCGAAAATCCCAAAACATCTAATGTCAGGGTTATCTCCGCAATCTTTGGGCCTCGAAATATGACATGTCCCATAGCCACTGTTGATGCGCCCCTAGAAAGCTCTTTGAGTGTGCATGTAAAGGCAGCGCGCTGAATGTCAACCGAGATAAGGATATCATCATCGGCCACATCATAATCAAGCACAATATTTCGAAACAGTTCGATCCCCTGAGATGACCTAACACCATCGGGCAGTCGTGCGTGCTCGTCGGCGGTGTCTGATTGTTCGAGCTGTTGTGCAGCTTCCACGTCGCACAAAAACTCGTCGATGCCAGCAAAGGTCTTGAAAGTCCCACAGTCGCTGAGACTCGGGAGGTGCTGGTAGCAATAAGGTGTGACGGGATGTGTGTACACGAATTCTTCGCACAGGATGGCTTTCCAGAGCTTTCGGTCTGGGCATGCAAGTGACCTCAAAGCGCACCATGTCTTTATCGCAAGTTTCCTAGTCTCAATTTGTTTCCTGGGGCACGCAAATCCACGCTCACGTTCTACTTCGTTTTGAAGCTCACAGAATAAGCTAACCTTGCACTTAGCTGCTTCCAACAAGTTCTCATTGGACTTTGCCATCGGTAAGCATCCTGATATTGGTAGGTCTCCAGTTGCTTCACGTGAATCATCTGGCCAAGTGCTGGCTTGAGGCTTTGTGAATTCATCAGCTCCGTCCGAGTCCGCTGAAGCCCCGGACGTGGTTGCGGTGCCTCGCACAGTGTCATCAAAAAACCTAAAGCATGAGACTCTCTCGGTTGAGATACGATGCATACGAGGTTCTTGCATCATATCAGATCCTGCGTAGAGCATTGGTGGTGCAACACGCTTCTCCCGTAATGCCACCCAGTCTACCGCGACGAGCCATGAGTGTGTTGCCACCTTAATGCCTCCTGGGGCTCCTAGCCGATCAACTGGATCAATACGCAGCAGTGCCGCAACGAAATCGTCAGCATCGCTAGATGGAGGATCTTTAACCCCAAAGACCGTGCTGATAGTTCTATACGCTCCCTCTCGAAGCGCACGTGTACGATCGTATCGTCGTTTTTCAGGGTCAAAAAAAGGAGTCACACCCACCATCATCAAATAAACAAGACACCCCAACGCCCACATGTCTATCGAGGCCTACAGCGTTGAGTTCTGCGTCGATTTGTATCTAGGAGTACAAACCACAAACCACCGGGACGCAGGGGTGAAACGCTTATGTTACAACCCGTCCAGGCTTCGGGCGCCATGAATTCTGGGGTGCCACATATTGAGCGCGCAAGTTCCTTCCGTACATCTTTAGCGAGCCCGAAGTCGGTGAGGAGGACGTGTCCGTCATCACCGAGGAGCACATTCTCTGGTTTTAGGTCGCGAAAAATGATGTTATGGTTGTGAAGATGGTCCAGGGCACACGTGATCTCTGCACTGTAGAATTGGGCCTCAGTCTCAGAGAAAAGACGATTCATTCTCCCCATCAAGGAAAACAGGTCGCCACCGGATGCCCAAGTAAGAACTAGGTAGACATGCTCGTGGTTTTGAAATGCGTACAACAGCTGGACAATGAATGGACATTGCAGCCGAGACAAAATATTTCGCTCCGCAATGACATGCGATGCCTGAATCAGAACCTAGGGAGACTATGCAGTGCTAGCGCCGCACCTGGCCATGCTGGGAAATATGGTCTTTGTCTTGGACTTTGATAGCGACAAGGCCACCGTCTTGATGTTTCCGCCGGGCGCGCCACACACAGCCAAAGGCACCTTGCCCCACTTTCTTTTCGAGTGTAAACGCGTGAAGGCCTCGTACTTCAATATCATCATCGTCGATTTGTCGCTCGACAGAACCGACGCCAACATCGGCGTCAGCAGCAGCGCGACACTCCGCAGAGACAGATGCGACCGAGCCCATCTGATGACGGGATATCACACATGGTAGTAATTATATGTATACATCCACCGTGAACCTGTCATGATTTGAAACATGACCAAATCCACGATTACATGTCAAAACATCATCACGCAGAAAAATGTGCTAGCAAATCCATGTTGCTGCATGTTAGCCATTAACTAGGCTAATAGGCTATGTTTCGTGGATAATCAGTGGACTACGGATGATAGAAGGTTCTACATGTGATGATCTGAGTTTTCGTGCACCAAAATTGGTCACACCCGAGGGACACGCACTGCCAAGCCATCGGCAGCGGGTCGGCGAAAATCGGCGCGCGTGCCGCTGCGTTTTTGGCGGATAAACGCTGTGGCAAAAATGCGCCGAAAAAGGGCTGCATATGCACCCATTCGCGCGCACTACCACGGGATGATCAGAATGACACGGCCCGGTGTGTTTGGCAGTGTGGCTTAGAGTGCCGCTGACAGCGGACCGGGCAGCGGACCGGGGACCTCAAGGTGATAAAGCGGCGAATATCGGCCTTAGAACGCGAGTGTGATTAAGCACAATCAAAGTGCGCTTGGCGATAAGCCAGCTACCTAGGGAGCCTACATTCCGCTCCTTGGGCTATGCTGCCCTAACTCGGGACTATGCTATCCTCCCTATGCTGGGACGCTCATACTGGCCTATGCTGGCTATGCTCAGTCTGCCTTATACTGGCTATGCTCATGCTATACTATGCTGGTGCTTCATACTAGCATACTCGGATTCTAACACGGTATATACTTTTTCTTTTCAGTATCCTTTGGTAAAGTCTGTGTTGTGATTTGGTGATCCGTTCGGCTTGCAGGTTTTCCGATAGACGCGTTGCGCTATCTAGTGAGCCCATATTCGCAGCGTAGCCGGCTCGGATGGGCGAAGGTTGCCCCTTTTTCTTACCCTTTTGAACAAACTCAGGCCCCACAGCATGTGGGCCCATCTTCAGGAGGTGCAGGTGGAGGAGCAGGTGGAGGTAGAGGAGCAGGTGGAGGTGGAGGAGCAGGTTGTTCCCCGAGAGCAGTTTGGTTAGTCCATCTGCTGGATTCAGTTCTGAGGCTATCTTCAGTGGGTGAAAACGTTCAGCGTCGAATACTTCACATAGACAGTTCATGCGGATGCCCATATGCCTATTCCAGACTGCCCTTAGCCTGTTCTAGAGAAAACTTGAACTCTCGAGGGCCGGGCCTGGGCAGTGCTGGCGGGCACCCTTGGAGGGCTCTATCTCGGCGCCATGACCACCGATTTGGAAAATTCTTGTTGCATCTGAAAGCCCTCGGCGTCGCCTTGGTCGCTAGGCCACTCGCTCGAAACCCGGGGGTGCAACGCAAACTCAGAATATCTATCCCCGCAGGTAGGGATCCCTACTGGATTTCGAATCCGTGAGCGCAAACGAACTCATTCAAACACCAATGGACGATTTCAGATTGCAAAGCCAACAAATTGTATCCCTAAGTTCACGTCGGAGTTGATGCTGTGACACGAAACGCGCGAAGTCCGCCCTCGGCTATGGACGAAAAAGTCGTCCTCACCAGCCCGTAGCTCGACACAGGAGCCGAGTCAAGAGACAACCCCCGCTGTAGCGAGGATCGGAAGCCTGTCGACGACACATTCCCCGCGAGATGTCACTCCCCAGGATTGCGTCGCGTCGCGCACGAGGCGCCGCAAGGGGTCGGGAAAGGGTTGCCCGCGTCCCCCGCACCCTTTTCCGCCGTGTTCGAGTTCACGGAGCGTCGGGGATCGTTCGTCTATATAGTGCGGGAGTCCCATTTGATGCGCTCGACCATAGAGGTCGAAGACTTTGAACTCCAAGGTCTCCGCGACACGGGCGCGCACCGCACGCGCAGCACCCGGATCGGGTTCAACCGTCGCGCGAGGCTGCCCCTGGATCCCGGCAACCAATGGGACCCCGAGCACGAGCCGCGCGGCCCCAGAGCACCGGCGCGGGGGCTCTGCGCGGCCTGGGCGCGCCATCACGAACGACTCGGCGCCGAGCAGCCCGTCCCCCGGGCGGCCCGTCGCGCTTCCAAGCCGAAGAAACGCCGGAATATGTCACCGTACATGGCCACGGCCGCGCGCAGCCCGCCAGGGTGGGCGCGGGGGTCCAACTCGCCGACTTCGGTTTGAGTTCCAGGAACTCGGGCTGTCGACAATCGAATGCCAAGAGCGCGGGTTTCGATAACTCGGCGCCGCGGAATTATTTATTTCGGACTTCAGGATATATTTTTTGTTTGAAGCCTCGGACAGAAGAATCTGAAATCGTCTAATGCGAGATGCTATGAAGATCTCTGGTGGCAGAGGGGGCAAGTACGTAGATGCGAGTACGCAGGCGTGGAGTCCACTAGATCAAAATCAGCGTCTCGACGCATATTACCATTTCAGCGAGAAATCTGCACGCCCTTATGGTTCTACGAGGCCGAAATATACGCTGGGTCGGGATTCATCAGAGGTTTTTATCGCAGCGGAATCTCTGGCGACCTTACCAGAGATTGCAGCAATGACCATCAATCAGCGTGCGGAGCTCTTCATGATGAGAACACTTGAGGACAAGCATCTCGAAGCAGAAGAAGTGATACCACCCACCTCTTTATCAGAGTCAAGGAGTGATGATGAGTCATTTAGGCGATCAAAACGGATCGGTCAGTCGAGAAAAAAGAAAAAATATCGACCATCCTCGGCCATACAACGGAGCCCGGCGAAAGTCGTGGAATCGAGTTCCAAGGTACGCCCGATGTCAGCACCGGCGCGCATGACTAAGCGGTTACCTGTACGGATCTATGGGTCACAATTTGTGGCGGAGGTACGAGCGTTACCGGAGATGCCCAACGCAAGGATTGTGCCAAAGACTGGCGGGAAAAGGGGTCATAATAACGCAATATTCAGAGATGTAAGCAAACAAAAGGCACCTGCGGTCATAACCAGTCAGGATTGTAGATCCAGTCCTCTTCAAAAGCCAGAACCCGTTGCAGCTGAGAATCTAGATGAGTTGATTACCATGCATACGGATGAGCCTGGCATCGCTGTTGAAGAGCAGCGCCTTGTTGAATTCACTGGAACCCTAAATATTCAGCTCTCCACGCCGACGCCTTGGGCGAGCGTCCGTTATTCACTTGACGGTGAACCCGTGAAGAAGACAAGTCGGATTTATCGGTCAGCATCAGTGTCGCAAGCGCGTAGACGCTCCTCTTTGCTGATAAATTTTTTTTTTTCAGTAGTTGTTCGTGTTAGGCTCCCGTTCGAGGTGAAAAGCCACGTTGTCTTGAGATGTGCATCCTGCAAACGAGGATTTTTATCAGATGAGTATGTCGTCCGGTTCCAGCACAAGGCTGATATCAAGGGCGTAAAGGAGCGCATGCTCAAGGCAGTCAGCGGTGTTACGATGCTGAATAAGCTTGACAGAGGTGGTCTGCATGATTCTTCGACTCGAAGCTCCCAATCATCCCATCCACGCGGCTCTATAGGGCCCTCCGATGGCACTTCAGCTCTCCTCAAGGCAGTGCGCTTGCAAAATATAGCACAGGTGCGATGTCTGCTCGAACATGGGTTTTCATCTGATGGTGAGGAGCCCACAGATGGATCTCGACCAGTGCTTACGCCCCTCGTCGCAGCTTGCAAGATCGGCCATGTCATCATCACACAGCTCCTTTTAAATCACACAGCCTCGACGGCCCTGGCCTCTGAGGGTGGCCTCACACCACTTCACGCTGCGTGCAATGCTCGTGCGATTGCATGTTGCCAAATTCTCATCGCCCAGGGAGCCGACGTTGATGTTGCTGCTGATGATGGCAAGCGCCCACTTCACTGCGCTTGTGCGGTTGGCGCTGCAAAATGTGCGGAAGCGCTCCTGCGCGCAGGCGCCGACGTCGAGGAGCAGACGCCCGAGGGGGAGCTACCACTACATACTCTCTGTATCAATGTAGAAGCGAGTATTCTTACACAAGCGGCCAGTCGCGCGAAAAGAGGGTTCGAGACCTCAGACTTCGCTGGTTGTGCAAAGGTACTGGCTGACGCCGGCTCACCTTTCGATAATAAGTTCATGGGGCGACGGGCGATTCAGTACGCGGCACACAGCGACAGCAATGATATCGTTGAATTTCTTTTATCGGCTGGCGCAAAACCACTGCCGAAGGCTAATAAAGGCAACTCGGGTGGTCAGGGGCGTCGAGCTTCGAAGTTTGGGCCGACTGTCGCTCAGATCTAAGTGTGAATTCGTCGTTGGAGTTGGTCCTCCATCCCCGCTGGGAGTTGCCGCGTCCTCGAGGCGCGGCCTATCTATTCAGGTTTATATGAGCATACCATGGGCGGCGATCAATACAGGGGACGGGGCTGCCCGTCCATGCTCTCTTAAACTCAGAGAGCACTTTCAAAGTTAGCAGAGCCTTAGTAAACTTCCTACGGCGAAGTGCTCTCACTTTTCTTCCGTGGCCCGGAACATGCCAAACGCAGCGTCAGATATCGTCGCACAAGGGTCTATCCGTCTACGAGACATCTTGCACCCAGACGAAGGTGTCCAGCAAGCACAAGCTGTGAAATCGGCAGGGAAGGACGCAACCATCGCACGTCGAGCACCCGCAGCCAACCGCCCGGAGTAGCCCCGTGACCGTGCCGCAGAACAACGTCGCACGCGTCGCGCACGCGAACCAAAGCTATTGCGACAACCGCAAGAAGGTAGCCAACACAGGTAGCCAACACTTTCGGTGCGCCAGGGCCCGCGCCGAGGCATGTGACGAGAATTGCAACAGCCGACGCCGCTATAGGCCGATTTTCCGAAATTAATTGACTAAGGCCCGCTCCACATGCAGGCGCCGGCGCCGAGGACGCCAGCCCTGGATTAAGCAGATTCTGTAGGGGGGGTCAACCGCGACCCTAGCCACTACGAAGCGCACAGTAGGTAAAGCGGGGGGAAGTACGAACGGCCAACTTGCAAGTGGGCGGAAATCCGGCGACCCCCGACCCGCAGGGCCCGTCCGTTACTCAGACTGAGTCACAGCCTCAAGACTCTGACAATAGTGGGCGCTCTAGTGTGAGACCGCGCGACCCGCCGTGCGGCGGTACGGGAGGGGCCACTCGACCCCGCTTCGCATCCACTGCCACCCCACGGCCCCCCGAGGCCGACAGAGGTAGCACCAGGCATGGGGCCTTTAAGCGCCTTGGGGGGCAGCCGAGTCGCAGACTCAGATCCGCTGGGTCTCTCATGTCCAGAGTGCTCTTGTCGCCTTGCACATAGCAGCGTGAATTAAAGATCAACATAAAGGCTGCCATTGTAGAACAATCTCTCATTATGTACTCCTTCATACCTTGATATTTTCTGGTGTATTTCCAAAGTGATCTTATGCAGCTCCCTTGTTAGGGTGAGCATGTGGCTGTTATTACAATGGCCAGTGTGATTGAGTTTTGAGAGCATTGAAAGACGATATTTTATGAACTCGCGTCGCGTGATTACCTGAATCAGGGGCAGCTGTGCGGAGAGGGCATTGATTTTGCGTGCGAGGCCTGCAGCTAGCTCGGGTGTGTATTCTGCTGCGTCAAGAATCGTATCTACGCACAACGAGATTTATGTTGACTCCCTAGACACACTGGAAATTGACGTAGTGCTGCCAGGCGATCACTTTGCGGTGTCTGAAGTTTATCCCACAGTGAGATGAGCTGCTCGCGCTCAGTCTTCGGGCTGGTGGAATTATTTGGTGTTTCTTTTATCTCTTTTTTCAGCTCTATGGTTGTTTGGTCGACAAATAGAGATTCGATGATCTGAGACACTGCTCTCGCCAAGACCGACGTTGAGAGTAGAGCCCTTCCTGCACATATCGGTATTCAAGATTGAAATTTCCGATGACGCATCACTTAAGTCGGCGAGCAATGCACCTATCTCATTCATATACTGCTGCTCAAGTTCCGCTGTTGTGTCGTAGTAACGCCGCTGTACCTCTCCTACTCCAATAGATGATGATAATATACGCGCAATGAGTGACCGGTGAGCACTCACTTTGATAATCTACGCGCCATTTGCTACATGCAAGGCGAAGTCGACTTATTTTAGCTTCCATTGAATTGCTATTCCGTGCTGCACGGGCCCCAGAGACTAGAAGACGTTCCTCGCACTCAGAAAGACGATGGTCAGCGCTTTCGATGTAGGCAGTGAGACGAGACTCATAGAGGGACCGACACCTCTCTTCGAAGGCCTTCATTGATGAGGCATGTTCGCAGTTTCGCGCCTTGACATCATCGATCCATTCTTGATCTAGATCATCATTTAGGTCCAGTGCAAGATTTAGCTGCGCTTGAATTTGGTCAATAATAACAGCATAATGCCTAGCAGGCTTATGTTTATTAAATGTTAGCAAACTGACTAACGCTGCGCGCTACGAACAAACACGTTCCTGGAGCGTCCGTGTACGGCGAACCTCTTCGTCCTCCCAGGTTTTCCGAAGACGTGAGATGAGTTTAGAAAACTTTGCGGCTGTCATGGCTTCTGCCTAGGAAACGAGCGTCCAACGCGAAAGGGTTTACGAGGAAGACCTGTGCGGTGGCATCGACATCACGCCGTGTGATTTCAGTTTCAGCACATGACGTGCTTTCTTGTAGGACAAGAGCACGACGTGTCTGCACACCCTGCTCGTGTGCAACTCTCTCACGAAGTGCTACGACCATTGATTCATATTTCAATCGTAATGTCTCCTCATGAATCCCGGAGGTGCGCGTAGCTTCGCGGTTTTCTTCAATTGAGGCAGCCTGCATGTCACCCAGTTGGCGCATGTGAGCCTCTGTGAGCGCAGCACATGCTTTACGATGCGCTACTCGTTCTTCGTGGATTAGTTGCTCTGCGGCCGCCTGTAGTTTAGTTGAAGCGTTGTGGTGAATGCTTGAACATACATGGTCGATTTCCGCTGACGACCGGACAACAGCTAGTGCGTCCTCAAATCGGCGTCTCAAATTAAGCGCGAACATATTACACCGCTTTCGAATCTCAGTGTCGCAATCTTGGCGCTTAGAATCGATTTTCAGGTCATCAACCTCACATGCGAGGGACCGATCGAAGAGAGACTGGCTCATCTTGTTAAATGGGCATTTGTGGCTGAGTGGATACAAAAGTGCAGTTCTCGTCCCAGTGGACAAAATGAGTGGAGGTGCGCGCAGCGTGCGCCTGGCTCGGGGCAATCAGGCGCCGCTTGAATTTTCTTCGCGGACCACGATCTCGCTGAGTTATGCGCTGTTAAGTGTGTGTACAGGCGCTTCGGCGACGCCGAAGCGCCTCGCCGGCCGGCGCTTCCAGCGCTTCGGCGCGCGACGCGGCCGCCGTGTCGACGCGCGCGGCGCTGTCAACCGCTGGCGCGGCCACGCCCTACCCCTGGGCCCCTCTGGGAGTGATTTCCGCGGCCGCCGCGCGACGGATCTCGTGGGGGAAGACTTGTTCGACGGAGGCGCTCTCGCATCGAATCGGCGCGAGTTTCACTCGACTGTGTGGTGCTGCGACGACGCGCCCGAGACGTTTGGAGAGGCCTACGACCTACTCTCGACCCACGGCCGACGCTACGGCACGGTCTACGTCCTGTTTGGACTGCATCTTGTCGCTCCGCAACCGACCGTGCTGGGCCCCGCCCCTGAAATGGGTCCTTTCCGGCACCACTGCGTCGCCGCGCGACGCGCGAAAGGGCGTTCAGCGCACCCGCGCACCGTCTCCGACCCAGACGCGTCCAGGATGGCCAGGGGGCGCCCGGGGGAGGTCGGTAATGACAGCTAGCATGAGCAAAACTTTGAGGTCCATTTGCTCGATTTCGCTCTCGGCTGCCAAGCTGCACTTTTGTATCCACTCAGCCACACTTCGTCCAAGCGACTTAATCTCAGGATTCGAGTCGCCGGGGTCGGACGCAACGGCTTACCTAACCCGTTACTTACGACTTACATTCGGCCAAAACGACTTACCTGACGGGTTACTTTCGGACTCGACGACTTCGGGGTCGGACGCAACGGCTTACCTAACCCGTTACTTACGACTTACATTCGGCCAAAACGACTTACCTGACGGGTTACTTTCTGTGGCCGCCTTGAGGGGAAATGGCAGTGTTCCTGACTTAGACTGAAAATGGAAAAGTGAGATGGGGCTCGCGACTGGTCGCGTTCGCCAAGCAGTAATAAAAACTATCAGCAGCCCGCGGGTTTTGGCGAGTGCCCAGTCATCCGTCCGTTTTGGCGAGCCCAGCGGCTTACCCCGGGGCCCGACGACTTGCCCTCTCGATGATTCGCAACACCGCGCGCCGCTCGACGCGCGCACGGTCGACGCGCGCGCGGTCGATGCACAGCCTCTATGGACGACTAATGAATCTCGCTGCGCCGGGCCGAAATGTATTATTAATTAATTATTAATTATCCCTACGGGCGGGCCTAGATGTACGTTGGTCACTTCACCGTCCGCGACACCGTGCCCGCGCGCGCGGTCGACGCACAACCTCTAAGGAGGACTGACGACTCTGGCTCCGCCGGCCGGAATTCGATGATGGATCTTTATTAATTGATTTCCTATGGGCCGGCCTAGATGTACGTTGATCGCTTCACTGTTTTCCGAGCTAGTGTGCTTTACTAGGGCCACTACTCCAGAGCCCATTTTTATCGCTAGCGATCGCTCCACGACGAAACATGGCTGAAAATAAGATGCGCGAAATTAAGGTTAAGCGCCGCAATTAAGGTTAAGCGTCGCACCCTTGCCATCAGGTAAGCAAGCTCATTCTGAATTGCTGCGTCGGTGAATCTGGTGACCGTTTGACGCGAGCTGCACGCGTTCTCGAACAACTCACGGGACAGGAACCTGTATACTCTAAAGGCGCGTTGTGGTCACAACAAACATTTCTAATTTGCTACCTAGCTCGCTACACCTGCCGTGGATTCTCCATTCGGCGCAATGAGAAAATTGCCGTGCACGTCACTGCATGCACCGGTGTATCGAAAAACACCCTATCTCAAGAACGCGTCTTCCACTGAACCCCAAAACCGCCCGCTGAAGTAAGTCTCAGCGGAACTATGCTCAGGTACGCGGTGAAAAGGCGATGGAGATCCTTGAGCGTGGCCTCAAGGTCAAGGAATACGAGCTAAATCGCAAGAACTTTTCGATCACTGGTAACTTTGGCTTTGGCATCACCGAGCACATCGATCTCGGCATCAAGTACGATCCGACGACAGGAATCTACGGAATGGATTTCTATGTCTGCCTCGAGAGGCCTGGCTTTAGAGTCGCACGCCGGAAAGCGCGTCAGGGCAAGGTTGGTATCAAGCACAAGATTCAAAAAGAGGATGCCATCAAATGGTTCCAGCAAAAGTACGAAGGCATTGTGCTTGGTTGATCTGGAGCAGATCATTACGGGTGTCATTCAAAACCGCTTCTCCCTCAAAACTCCATGTGAGCCTCAGCACAAACCCAAAGCGGCGGCATGAACCCGGAGTGCGAAGTGCGCGCAATGTGCGCTGTTTCTACGGGGCTTAATAAATAACGTGCGGCTTGGCTTCCGGGGGGGGGGGGGGGATGTCCCACTTAAGCGCCGTTAACACAGCCCGCCGGCGGGATATGTTAAACGCCGCTTCAACTTGGGCCTCGGGGAGTAGCTTGGGCCTCGGGGAGTAGGCGTAACCATCATAGGGCTTTCCTGTGTAATGGCTGGATTTTACGAGGGTGGAATTCAAGCAGGCCAGCGATTTGTATTTTTTTTAAAATGGCCTCATGTCGATCTTGAATGCTGCCCGCCTCATTCACAGCGCCACTTGGGAGTTTAAATCAAGGGTGGTGTTGGCCGAGTTGTGATTGAAATTTTGAGGTGAGACTAGGCCTACACAAGCCAGAACGGCGAGTCCAAGCCGCATGTTTGGTGGCTCACACTAACGCTGGTGTATCACTTGCGCGAAGATTATCTGCCGCTAGATCTGTGTGCCAAGTCATCGACTCTCTGATGGACTCAGGTCCGTTTGCATTTTTGGTGTAATGGTCTTGACGCGCTTTGCCTGTAGCTTCTTCACAGCCACCTATGTTAATTGGTTTGTGCGCCCGAATACTAAAATCTCTCGTTCTGCATGAGTGTAGTACAACACTCATGTGAAACGCATAGCTAGATGCGTCAAGATCGGCTTTCTGCATCTCTGCAAACCAGGCGAGATGATGTGTGACAACAAGCCTTAGTGCTCTCCAGCAGTAGACCTTGTCATTTTTGGGGTGGTACTCATCTTCAATGCTGTTCTCTGGGTCTTGGGCGACTTCGTACCTGTTCATCCGCAGGGTGCCGTGTTTGACTCAAAGATGTGCAAGATTGCGAATATATTAACGAGTGAAAATCATGCTCTGATCGATACGCTCTAAGAAATTCCTCGATAGATGGCACAGCATCTGCCAGTTTCACGCAACAATTCTCGATTGTGCCTTCATTTTTGATGCTATCTGCATCGGCCTTGAGCTTTGCGCGTTTAACAAGTACTGCATATGTTGGTGGAGTATATCGCTCGCCTGATCGTTTTGTCATCTTTGGAGTATCGGTGCGATAGTCTTCCTTTGGACAAACGTTTGTAGAATTCAGTCAAGACTCGGTGCGTTACGCTTTCGCTTCTCAGCGTCTCGATGTTCCTGAGACTGGGGTAACCTCTCATAGGGTGCACCTGTCGAGAATGAAAAATAAAATTAGCGGCTCCAGGCGAAGCTGCGCGATATAGATATAGATATAGATATAGACATAGACATAGACATAGATATAGATATATAAATACGAAATTTTGCAAACGAGAGATTGGACTTTGGAGAGCGCATCCGTTCTTCTTCCAAGTCGACCAATTCGCCTCCCGCTTGATTAGTTCGTCCAATGACTCGAGGCGCTCTGGGCCATTTGGTGGGGTGGAAACTACGAGCTTGCGGACACGCGCAAGGACCTAATTATCAAATGTACTCAGAAAGTTTTTTGCCTTATCCAACAGTATTCGGGGACATGGTTGACACGGGACATGGCGGAGGATGCCCAGTCTGGCTTGCTTGTACTTTTGGTCCCTAATGAAGGCTGATCGCCAATAATACTTTCACGTAGGAGATAGTAAAAAACCAAGTATAGCTGCGTAACAAGCTGCATCCGCAGGACCTAAGCACAAAAAGACATGGGAGAGAGCGCGTGGTCGTTATCATGGGTGGGTGTGGCGCGTGTGGGGTTGTGTGGGGAGGTTTACGGGATCTCGAAGCTGGATCCGGAGTAGCCGTGAATTTGTGAGGTATTTTGCGCCCATGGTCATAATACCATGCAGGCGCCCCGTAAACGTTCCATAGACATCTTCATTCACGCGCCCAAGTCGCTCAGCGAGCCAAGAGTCGCGTGCTCGAGTGACACTGTCTTCAGATGGTGCTGTGTTCTCGAGTGCGGCGCAACACGCATCCACGCTTGCTAATAAGGCTCTACGCTCCTCCATACCTTGGAGCGCAAGGTTTGGATCACTCAGCCACCTTTGGACAGCCCAGAATGTAGAGTACCTAGTCCTGAGCTATTGGTTGATGAGCGTGCGAGACTGCGAGACAACCGCGCTGCAATAAGCGTTGCGTAGTCGTCTGCCAACATGCCTTCGCTCTCCGCCTATGAGGATGTAATTGTCGATTTGAGTCGGAAACGACCTGGGCCAATAATTGTTGATGGTGCGGCTCCGCAAATATGCTCCTTCAGATTTCATGGACAGTGTCTCCTCAGCCTCTGCAGCGTTGAAGGCGGCGTTGTCCTCAAAAGTTGTTATGTTCTCGAGGTGAACTTCGCCTTCACAAAGTGATTTGAGAATTGCATCGTGCAAAATGTGACGTGCCTTTGAGGTTCACGGCCGATTTCTCAGAGATAGGCCAAGCTGCTGCAAGGAATAGGAGAACCTATATGCCAATGTACTCAAATAAAGAGCAAGATATACGCGGGCATGTACTCTTCCGCAAAGCTCTGCGTGGCGTGTCCGAGACAAGCGACGAAGTAGTGAGTTGCAAAGCCGCAGCAACACAAACTTACCCCGCTGAAACAGAGTCGTGTGCGTTAGAGCTTCGTAGTAATGCTCTACTTGGGCCCACCAGAACCCACAGCCCGACACACTCGAGGCATCCAACGCGTCTTCTAGTAGCTTGAAGGGCACGCACAGAACCACCCGCGGCGCTGTTCCATCACGAATATTATGGCTTGCCTCGTATCGGGCATATGCAACACAGACTCCCACCAATTCCGCCGCGTAAGCCTCATCGTGCCCTTCTAAGGCCCGCGAGAGCAACCCACGCGCTGCCACTTCAACTGCGTCGCTTGGGTCCAGCAGACCGCACTGTTCCACCACGGCCGTGCGAATTCGAGGACCGTTCGACGCTTCGCCCGCTGCTCGTCGCACACAATCATCCAAGGCCGCCCAAATCGCCATGGAAAATTCTTGACCTATTAGAGAGGTTCAGTACACCCAGAGTCTGTGAATAAGAAAATCATATTTGTGCAACAATCTTGATGCAAGTCCGAAGCGAGATATAACCTGAGGAATGTTAAAAATCGATAAAATGGCCATACAAACCACAACTTTGGAGGTCTCGTTCTCGGCCCCATGGCCACCGATTCCTTTGGTTCTTGTTGCATCTGAAAGAGCTCAGTGTCGTCTTGCGCGTGGGCCATTAACTCCGAATCTTCAACCGCCTCGAAAATTTGCATTTCAACGTTCCTCAGCCACATTTCCGTACCACTTGGCGTTTCGTATCTCCCACTATGTAAAGAATCTAAGTTCCGTACATCAACATGAAGTAAACATGAAGTTAAGGTACAGTCCGTAGAAGCAGGATAAGCACAGCGGGTGAGAGGGGAAGCTCAGTGTGCTACCTCACGGTAGCGTAGTCATCATATGTGTAACTGATTATAAAGGAGGGGAACGGGGAGGAGAGCCGAACTAGGGTAGGTACTAGTACAGTACTAGCATGATAGTAGTAGGGTAGTAATGTGGCGAAGCACGACAAGTACGCCAGGCTAGACTCCAAACGGCACCAGAGCGGCCCTGAGGCCGCTTAGGCCGCCCCATTAGGGCCGTAGGGGCCGGGGGAGCCTATAGCCCAAGGAGCGGAATGTAGCCGGGCTCCCTAGGTAGAGCTCTGGCCCATCGCCAAGCGCACTCTGGTTGTTTTAATTGCACTCGCCCGCGGGCCGATCTTGCCCCCCTCGGAGAGGGGTTAATACTTGGACCGAGCGCGCAGCGCTTGGCCGGGGGTCCGCAGGCGGGTGATTATCGCCAGGAGCGATGACTCTACAACTTTACACTTACCCAGGGAATTTCCGTGCCTTCAAGGCGCTTGTCGCGGCGGAGTACGTGGGCGTCGACATCGATGTGCCAGATTTTGACATGGAAAAGACAGCGAAGACGCCATCTTTCCTCGCGATGTCGCCTATGGGTAAGGTGCCAGTACTCAAGACACCTCAGGGTGCCATATTCGAGTCTAACGCGATCGCTCGGTATGTAGCGCGACTACGCAAGGACTCTGAGATCTACGGACGGACGTTCTACGAATCGGCGCTCATCGATTCATGGGTAGATTTCTGTGCGCACGAGCTCGAACTCCCCTGTACGATGTGGGTATACCCGATCATCGGCTACATGCCATTCAATGCGGCAGCTTTCGCCAAGGCTAAGGAGCATGTCAGTGACGCGTTGGATTCTCTGGAAAGGCACCTCGTCGATAAAACATACATAGTCGGCGACGCAATTACGTTGGCAGACATTACGTTGGTTTCGGCGCTCGTCTATCCTGCGAAGCTCGCCATGGATAAGCTTTTCCGCGCGAGATTCCCCAACGTGTTCCGTTGGTTTGATCTTTGTGTGCATCAACCTCAATTTGTTGCGGTCATTGGTGACGTCGCACTTGCGGAGTCTGAGATGTTGCCAGCATCTGCTAGCGTTGGATCATCTATAGACCAAGGTAGTAAGAAAGGCAAGAAGGATAAGTCGAATAAGGGAAGCGATGCAAACATATCCGTGGAGAATGCATCGAGGGACAAAAAGGAGAAGCTCCCCAAAAAAGAAAAGGCGAAAGTTGAACAGCCGACAGAACCTAAGCCTGAAAAGAAAAAAGACCACCCCCTGAAAATTCTAGACAAAGAAGAGCCGTCCGAGTTTGTGGGCGATGTTTGGAAGAAAGTTTATTCCAATAATCCGCCTGATGTCTGGAAGAAGCAGTTCTGGGAGATGTATGACCCCAAAGGCTGGTCCCTTTGGGCGTGCAGATTTAAGTATAACCACGAGAATGAAAAGCAGTTCATGTGCGCCAATGCGATCGGCGGTTTCGTCCAGCGCTCTGATGCTGTTCGGAAGTGGGCATTCGGCGCCATGTTTGTCACTGGGTCTGAACAGGACCTCCCGATTGAGATCTCTGGAGTCTGGCTGATGCGTGGACAGTCAGTCGAGCATCTCAAGGATGCTAATGATGACGCTCTTTGCTACACATGGACTAAAATTGATCACACTAGTCAGGAGATGATGGACTTTGTTGCCGAATACTGGGCTGCAGATGTCGATGGGTACCTTGAGGGCAAACTTGTCACGGATGGTAAAGTTTTCAAGTGAGAGCGGTTACGCACCATTGCAGTTTGGACACCATCATACACCATCGTGAAGTAATCACAATTGTGATGAAGCTCCCAAAAGAATGGACTCTGGACTTGGTAACGTCCTCCCTTGTATCAGCGCGCACTTGGAGGTGGTAGCTTGCGGTGGCCTGCCTGTGGCCCAGGTAGCAAGCAAGTTCCCAGGTGCCTAAGGTGCCCACACCCTGCGCCCACACCCCTAACAGCCACTACGAAAAACCCAGCAATCTCGATTAATCGAGCCACGGACGATCCCCGCGACTGCATTGTGGCCCGAGGGAGGCTGTGCGTTGGCACGATTTGGGAGAAGGGGGTGAGATTAAGACTGCCAAGTTTCAGTGATTTTTTGGGGCCGCCGACCCCGACTTCCTACGGCGAAGTGCTCTCACTTTCTCATTCTGTGGCCCAGAACATGCCAAAGTTCTAGGGGCGGACAGTGAAGCCCGGGCGCTTCGGGGCCGCTTCGGCTGGGTCCGGTTCCCTGGATGGGTCGGGAGCAGTGCGCCGAGATGCTGGTTTAGTACAAGGACCTAATTTGGGTATGTTGCGTGAGGCCCGGCCTCACGCATCTCCGCCGAGTTTCGTGGCTGTACTAAATCAGGAACCCCGGGCACCGCGAATGCATGGTGCCGACAGCAGTGGTGGCGGCCCTCGACAAAGCGCTTCGGGACGTCGCGGGTCGACGCCAGGCGCCTCCCGTCGGCGCGGAATCACGTCGCCGCGCGTTCGGAACCGTTCCTGCGTACCCTGCGCCGCTACTCTGAGCCGCTGAGCCTTCGGCGCTGCTCGTGCGCGCCTGGAGCGCCCGCTCTGGTGAGGCTTCGGTGAGGCACTGGAACTAGATCGCTTCGCTGGGCGCTGCTGGGCGTCGCGCCGACGTGTCGAGTGTTCAGTGCACTCCCAGGTCGACCTACGAGGCGCGGGAACACGCGCTGCGCCTACCACTCGTGGCGTCTGCGCTGGCACAGGCGCGAGACGGGATTGGCGTTTCTCGCCTGGAAACGAGGCGATGGGCCACAACGCGTCCTCGCGGGCTACAGGCGTCGGACGGCTGCGCGATGGGTTCCGACGACATGTATATCGACTCGAGTGCGCCCACGCCAGCCCAAAGTTGCCGGAGCGCCTCGTACACGCGACCCCGTTTTGCCCGCGCGGGAGGAAAATCGAGACTTTGCGAGGTCGTAGCTCCGCGAGATTGAGGTCGATTTACGCGAACCCAGACTCTCTAAGTATCAGTTAGAAGTCGGCTATCCATCGCAAGTGACCGCAAGGTCGAACTCGACGGTCCACCGCCGGTCGACTTTCACTGTCCGCCCCTAGGGCCCAAACGCAGCGTCAAATATCGTTCGACCATCGTTCATTCATTTCTCAATTATCATTTGTCCGGAGCGACAGAAAGAGTACTGTTGTATGTGATCACTGGGAGATTACGCTATGACGTCTTCTTCTAACGAGGCGCCAGTGCTGGAGTCGGCCTGTGATCGCGTGAGCGTAGGGCTGCGCATCCGACCGCTGAATTCGATAGAACTGGAATCAAAATCAGTGGCTGTCATGGTCGAGGAAGCTGGTTTGAAGGTTGTGCAGCTTAATGATGTGGGGAAAGATCGAATGTCTGAGCACAGCTACGATGCCGTGTTTGGACCGGCGGTGAGTACAGCACGTGTCTACCAATCGATTGCTTCACCGCTTGTACAAAACACTCTCGACGGCTACAACTCTACGATATTTGCATATGGTCAAACTTCTTCGGGGAAAACGCACACAATGGTTGGTAGCGATGCCGACCCAGGTGTACTGAAACTTTCTATGAAAGAAATATTTGGTAAGATACGTAAATATTGACTTCTCGCAACTCACACTACTTTAGGCAACCTTGAATCCAAGATTGCATCGAACGAGAGCCTTGTGCGAGTATCATACCTTGAACTCTACAATGAAGAGATTCGTGACCTCTTGCGCCCAAGGGAAGGAACGAAACACCAAATTACAGAAGATCCGACGCGTGGCCCTGTGGTGAATGACCTGCA